CTCAAAGAGCCTTGGAGAGTGAGGCCCAGCCTCCCTGGAAGACTGCCTAACACACGGTATGGAGCCTGTAAGAGGGAGGTGACCACCACAGGGGCCAGCAGGGGAGGCCACAAGGTAGAGTTCACAGTTGCCTCTCCTGCTGCCCTCAGGCACTGCGGAAGAGAGCAGCACTACACTAGAAGAGGTGGAGAAAGCCCCCGCAGAATCCATGCACATTCTGAAGCTGAAGGGTAAGAGATGACCCTTGATAGCCTAGGGCCCTAAGCACATGCTCCATCTGATCTAAGGTCATGATCATGTTACTGCATTCCGACCCTAAGTCATGTCCCATCCTAAAAGAAATATACTAGGAGGTCCAGCTCAGGGATCTGCTCACCAGGAACCATGCCCCAGAGCTTCTCCTGGCATTTGGGGGTGGGAGTAGAGGGAAAGCGCTTGCAGAAAGGGAGAGATGAGACAAGGGAAAGAGCTTTCAGAAAGGGAGAGATGAGACAAGGAACCATGGTGGTCCCTTTCTGGGCTCAGAGAGGCTGGCCTGGCTGGCTTTGTCACCCTGGCTGGTCTTTGGCACTGAGAAGGGATTTAGAAATTTTCTAGAAAGTAATTTTCTAAACTGGACACACAAAAATCTCAGGACATCCTGGTACCACTAGCCTGCTTGACTTCAGTGTCGGGGAGGGAGATTCAGACAATTTCAAAGTTAGTGGTGAGGTGGGGTTTCCCTTGCCCAGACCAGAGGATGGTACTGAGGGTTCTGGTAGCTGCTATTCTTTGGTATACTTTTGATATTCTCAGTGCCCTGCATGATACCATCTTTAGGCAAAAGAATTTCCCTAAGGGTGAGGGAAATTTCTACTGTTTTTAGAACAGACTAAAAAAGATCAAACTTGTTAAGGAATCACACCACTTTAAATCCTTTCTAGATTAATAGGAATTAATCTATTTTCTTGCCATAAAACCACCTCTATTTTCATTTAATTAACCAAGGCTCTAGTGAAGACAAATCATGGGATTAGCTTCAATTCAGTTTGGGTGTACTGGAAGCAGCAAATCCTTTTCTAATACTGGTAAATACAGTGTAAAGGCCTACTGTCGTTCCTTCTATCTCTTATGCTAAAGTATAGCTCTGGGAATGCTCTTCTGATAATTAAATTTGAAGTTACCGAGCCAGTCTTGTAATCCAGTAGTTAAGAGAGCCAGATCTCACATGACCTGTCATGGTTTTAGTTCCAGCACCAATGGCTTGAAAGACATGCCAGGCATGTCTTGAGAGGATGGAGAAATGGAGGAGAAAGGATTGCGATGTGACCACACCCCATTGGGAGGTGCTTTCTGTTTCTCTCTGGTGAGTACAGGCACCTCTAGCAATTAAAAACAAAACCAGTTTATTTTATTTATGATATCCTGTACATATGTATGCATGTGTGAGAGAGAACGTATCCTAAACAGGGTCTTATCACTCTATGACCCCCTTTCCCCAGCCCTCCAGCTCCTCAGGATCCTGGGCATGCATGTACATGCCTGATGCATTTTCAGGCCAACTCAAGGGTCTGAACCTGTGATCAACCATATGGCTATTGTTTAGTTTGCTATTGACTCTACCACCAGGCTGGTCCATCCCTTCTGATAATTCGTAATAGGTAATTGTCCCTCAAAGATTCTAGACAGGACAACTGGAACACACAGAAAGTTATAATGTGCTACAACAATTCAGCAGTCATTTTTGACACTTCGTTTTCTTCTTGAAAGTTGTTATCAATCTTCTATCTATCCATAAATCAACCATTTACAAAATGTCATGGTTATTCAAGTCACCTGGATTATTGCATCAGCCTTCTTAGTGTTCTGTTGTCAGTCTCTTTTGTACTCCTTCTCTTACAGACCAGACAATTCCAAAATGAAAACCTATTCATGTCACTTCCACCTGTGGCTTTAATGTCTTGTATCACTCCTTCTCTATGGCCTTCTCCACACCTTCTCTTCCCGATGTGGAATTTCCTGCCACTACCTCATCCCCGCCAGCCTGGCCTCAACTTACATTTTACTTTCTCTTAGAATCTATCTCAAAATCCCCAGATTAGTCTTCTCTGTTATTACACAATCACACTTTGTCATCTTTACTTACTTAAATGTGCCTATTTCTCACTAGAATGCAAAGAAAGAGTAGAGATTCTGTCTGCTCTGCTCTCCACCGTAAATCCTTTACGTAGCACAATAATTTAACAGAAAGTTGCTAATAAACAAATTATATCCTGTTTACAACTTCACAAAGTAAACATTATATTAGCCTCATCTTACAGAAAGGTTTCCCTTTCTGTAAGATTTAAGCACTAGGATTTTATATGCTGAGAAACAGTTTAGCAAATGTCCACACTGCTTTTTTTACTTTTTGCAAACCTCAAGAGTTTTTTTCTATTTGTCTTGAAAGTGTTAGTGTTCTTCACGGCAATCATCTTGAGAATCACTTCAAAACATTTGGCAGGAGGGCCATGATGTGCTATAAAAGCATGCATAGATGCCTGTGAAATTTTAGGAAGTATCTGTCTTTAATATGATGGTAGCTGTGCCATCCCAGTTATCTGATATTTATCACATGCCTTAGCCCAGTTACGAATGTGTTATGACTTGATTTGGATGTTCTGACTCAGGCATTTTAACTTTTAAAAAAAAAAATTTATATTGCTTTAATTTAAATAAATTAATTATTTTTATTTAATATAAATTATCAATTGCTATCTTTTTTGGGGGGGGAGGTTTTTGCTATAGGGCATGTGCGCTCACCAGAAAGACAGTGAGAAACAGAGAGACAGAAAGCGAGAAATTACCCTCCGGGGGGATGGCCATGCTGCAATCCCTTCTCCTCCATTCTCCTCTCGGGATCTTGGGCACACACGCACATGAGCCCAGTGTGAGTTTAAGCTACTGGGTCCGGGACTTGAACCGCAGTTGACTACATGGGAGTCCAGTGACATAGCCATTATGCCAGCTGCTGGTCCCACTATCTTTTTTTTTTTTTTTTTACTATAGGGCACATGTACTTGCAGGAGAGACAGACAAACAGAAAGCGAGAAATAACCTTCCAGGGGGATGGCCACGTTGCAACCCCTTCTCCTTCATTCTCCTCTTGGGATTTTGGGCATACATGCACATGTGCTCCACATGAATTTTAAGCCTTTGAATCCATAACTCACGCTGCAGTTGACTATGTGGGAGTCCAACAACATAACCACTACGCCATCTGCTGGTGCCTAAATTGCTATTTAGGTATTTGTTTAGTTCCTTTTATCCTTTTTTTGCTTTATTGACATTTAATTGACAAAAATTATGTGTATTCAAGATTTATAACATGATGTTTGTATATGCGCATATATTGTGAAATGATTACCACAGTCAAGCTCATTAACATATTCATTACCTTACATGGTTACCTCTTTTATTAGAAAGGTTTGTTGTTTTTGTTTTTGTTTTTTTGATAGATTTTTGATATAGAGCTCATGTGCTCACTGGAGAGACAGACAGAATGCAAGAAATCACCACTTGGGGGTAGAAGGGTGGTCATGCTACAATCTCTTTTACTCATTCGCCTCCTGGGATTTCGTGCACACACGCACACATGCCCGGTGTGAGTTTTAAGCTGCCAGGTCTGGTACTTGAACCATAGTCAGCCATGTGGGAGTCTAGCACCTTATCCACTACAGCACCTGCTGGCCCTCACATGGTTACCTTTTATTTGGTGGTGAGAATACTTAAGATCTACTCTCTTAGAAAATTCCACAAACACAATACCACAATACATTGTTATTAATTTTTGATTCTGGGACCTCCCTTCCCACCCCCCTTTTTTTAACTGTCATAGGGTGTGTGCAGTTGCTAGAGAGAAAGAGAGACAGAGAGAGAGGGAGAAAGCATCCCACAGTGGAGCATGGTCACACTGTAATCACTTCTCCTCTCCCTGATCCTATCAGGATTTTAGACACACATGCACAAATGCCTTGTGTGCTTTTCAAACCACTGAGGCTGGAATTCAAACCGCAGTGGGCCACCTGGAAGCCAGTTCCCTTAACTACTAGGCTATAGGGCCAGCCCCAACTTAGGAATTCGTGATGACCCTGCCCAAATCATGAAGAGCCTGTCTTAGGCTGGAGGATCTTTAAACACTGGTCTCTACATTCTTGGAGGACAGCAGTCAGTGGGAACTGAATAATAGTCCCTTTTCAATGGGTCATGTGATTACTACAATTGTTTCCACTTTTTTTTTTTTTTTTTACCAGTCCACTTTGTTTATTTATATCACCTGCCTGTCTCCTTTTAGGCACAAGGGTTTGCAACCCCTACTCTATAGAGAGAATGTTCTCCCATCCATCTCTACTTGTTCAAATCCTAGCCATCATTCATATCCCATCTCAAATGTCAGCCTCTCATCACAAGAACTCACAAGCAGATGTGAGTTCTTCCTCTGCATTCGTAACGTGTTACACTTCTTTGGTAGCATATACAGTATCCAGAAATATTATTATTATGCTCTGTATTCTACTTATTTTGTACTCCTGACTATAGTGTAAGATACGTAAGTGTACACATTCACCCATCCACTCATTCAGCACACATTCAGTAAGGACTAGGTGCCACACACTATATTTAATGCTATGGCTATTGCAGAGAGTCAGAGAAACAGTACAGGCCCTCAAGGATCTGACCCAGTCTTTGGCTACAGAACCAGACAAGGGTATTGTATTTAATAATAGTTGGCATTTGCTGAAGGGAATTTAGATGCATTTGTTAATATTTGCAAGTATTTTTATTTGGTGACTGTATTACCTCAGTTTATGTCATTCTGTCACAAGTATTAAAGCTATCTTTCTTTAAGAAGCAGTGTAAGCATCATAATTTTGGTTAATATATACTGACCACTAAACATTTCTTCTCCTATTCCAGTTACGCTGAGTCACTGTCCTAAAATAGTACCCAAAGTTCTCAGAGGTCCCCCTAGATTTATTTACCTGGGTAACTGCTGAAAGAAAGGCGACTGCTGCTGGTGTCGGGATCTTTGATATTGAAGTCCCAGTGCTTATATATCCTGAGCATGGCTGCGTACGTGTACCAGCTTGAGTGAGCAAAAAAGATGTTCTCAAATCCAGGAAGAACCTATAGCCAGAATCAGTAAATAATGCAGAGTACAACTTTAAAGGAACGTG